TTGCCGTCCCCTCTGCGCTTCGCTCGGCGCCCGGTGGTCTCGGCCGCTTTCGCGGCCTGCCCCGTTCCTCTCTGTCTCTCGTGCGGGGGCAGAGGGGCTGTAGCTGCGAGGCACGTTAAGCGCCTGTGTTTACCGTATTAGTACTCATTGCATTAAACGGCTGAAACGAGTGACGGAGCCGGTTGCATTGATTTCTGGTGCGCTGGGTGCCTGTCCCCGTGAAAAGCACGAGACGGCTTCTGTTGAATCTTCTCTGCTGTCACTTGTTGACGTTTGCCTGTTGGGCCGCGTAAGAAATGCCGTAAAACAAGTAGGAAATGGTTCAGCCTCCAGTGCTGCCGGAGAAACCACGTGCGGTGGCTGCCTGCGAACTGCAACGGGCGATGCTTCGCTCACGGGAGTCCCACGTCACCCGAAGGTGTTGGTAGACTACAGATAAAGCACGGCGGCGGCCCGCCTTCATCAAGAATTAGAGGGCCTTCGCGTCATGTTTTATACCGACGGCTCCCTGGAGATACAGATCCTAATGCGAAACGCTCTGGGATCTTGCTTACGTCTGGAGCTCGCCCCCGTCCCACGTTGGTGGTGGGCGCCCTTCTTCGGGCTGCATAATCCACCCGGCCGTCAGCTGCAGGTGGCGTGTCCGGTTTGGTGACACTGGGGTGCATGCTGAGGGGACATCACCCTCCAGGCCCCGTAGGCACGGAGCCTGGTGAAAGCCTTTGGTGACTGACGTGTCCTAAACCAGAGGTAGTTCAGTGGGCTACAGCTGCTTTAGAAAGCAGTAGAGGACTAGGATTCCTCACTTTACGCCTAGAAAGCCCTCTTCAGTCTGTCCTTCTGTTAAAGCAAAGGGAAGTTTGGAAAGCGTCAGGCCAGCATCTGTCATCTGTCTCTAAAGTCCTCTGCCGTGGTGCTCTGACCATTTTTTATTTCTCCCGCACAAATCTTGCCATTATTATTACGATACGTCATCGAGCCGTATAATCTGTCAGTAAGGCACTGCTGTGCCTCATTCCTCGGTGGCTCTTCCTGCATCCAGCTTCTCCCCTGCTGCTCCTTCGGCACTGGTGAGGTTCCTTCCTCGTCCCCACGCTCCACATCGCGGTTGGGGGAGGACAGGTATGTGTTTAAAGGTGGCGGGTGGGGGGTGCTGGGGAATAAGAGGCTTCATCACAGCAGTAACGGGTGTATTTGTATGCATGCAAAACCCAAATCTGCACAAAAACACAAGTTTGCATAAGCTGAATTTTAACCTGTTAGAAATGAGAGGTTCCTCTACAGTACAAACTGAGGATTTGATTACCCACAGTTGGCTATCCAGGTTGGCTGCCCTGTCTGACCGGTGGCCGGTGAACTGAGGCTAACGGGGGCAGAGTCAGAGCTTTGATCTGAGAAACGCAGCAGGGTAGCACTCTGAGAATGAAGATGGGTGCTTAAACTGTGGGTTGCAACATTTTAAAAGTTAGATCGTGTGACTCTAGTTCTTCCATACTCTCTCAAAAGTTATGATTACAGTTGGAGTTTACTGTTCAATTTCGCATCAGCTTCCTTCAAAGCACAGACCTCCTATCGACATCATCACTGCTACTTTCCGTTTTGCCATTGTCTAATTCCTGACGCTCCATTTTATTTTAAAAGTGCCTTGTTTTTATCTAACGTACTATATTCAGAATCCTATTTCAATTGCATAACGTTTATCTTCGGCCTCTCTTAAAGTTACATTTTGGGAGGATCTGCGTGGCAGGTAGGTCTGTTCAGCTAAGGACGTAGTTAGGACAAACACTGCTGTGCTAACTTGCAAACTTAGAGAAATATTTCTTCATTTAACAATGAGGATGTAAGTAGGGGGATCTTTGCTCTTGCGAGATAACCTTTTATGTCAGCCAAAGCGTTGAACTGTCAGTGATAATTGCTGTGTCAAGGAAGTTTAGAACAAATAAAAGTGATGATGACACTTACTGGCTTACTTCATATGCTTCTGCCTGTAGTTTAGCTGTGTCACATTACCTCATTTCACAGAAAACAGCAATATCATTCAGTGCATTTGTTCTAATTTTGGGTATGTCATAAATGAGGATTGGCTAACATTTTGTCTAGATGCACAAACTTTGATCCACAATGATCCACTTGTCTTTTTAATTAGCATTTGAAATAGAGAAAAATGTATTTGTTATATGTAGCCAACTTCTGAATTTTGTTTAGTCATACATCTCTCCTGAGGACCATCCCAAAATGACCTGCGTAATTTAGCTTAAATTTAATTTTTAATGTGAGTTACAGACTAGTGACACCTAGCTGAAGGGGGAAGTACTTTGAATATGCATAATCTTCTATTTTGTATGTATCTTTCTATTTCCTTATGCAATTATATATTTGCATTCTGAAGTATGTTTCTTGACAGTCGTCCCAAAAGATTTGAAGTACAGTGTGTAAAATACGCAATCTATACTGCCAGGTTACTATCAGAACTGAAAAGAAAAGGATTTTTAAAGCTTCAGGTCCTCATGAAAGCATGTTTAAGATGTTGCAAAGTACTAAACGCAGTTCACCTGTCTTCCGAGTCCTTTAAGATGCTGAGCAGGTAGATTCTGTTCACCTCAGCACTGCGTTCACCCTTAACGGTACGATGCCAGGAGATACCATCACTTCCCTTGAGCTCTGGCGTGTTCTCGATTCACTGCTTTGACCTTAACGAAGGGAACGTTTGGTAACTGTGTTGCTTAATCTTCTAACGAAGTAACTATTAGCAGATACAGATCTCTGGATCTTATCGATTATGTAAGTATTAACATAATTTAAAAAATGGAGAGACTTACAGAAAAATAGGAAGATGTTATTTTAATTAAACAAAAACAGAGTTATAATCACTCTTTCTAAAAATAAAATTAGACTCTATCAATCCTTAACATCTGCATTTAATATTTTCTTCTAAACAAAAATACAGATGCGATTATGTAGCAAATTACAGTCTTTGACAACGTACAGTATTTACCTTCTCTTACACTTACTTTAATTCTAATTTGGTCATTAATACTTGACTCATTACTGCAACGTGTTACTTGTAGTAAAAGTGCCACAATTGAACTATAAACATGACATTGCCATCTTAAAACTATTTTGCTATAAACTGTAGAGAATATACAGAGTTACAAAGTCATTGTGGTTTTATCAAAATATACAAACCCCCCCCCAAACCTAACACAAGCTATCAATATTTTTCTTATGAACTATACAGTTATATAAAATATTTGCAAAATTATCTTTATATTTATAAATATTCTACCTTATTTGCTTTGGTCTATAATTATCATCATACAAGTCCACTTAGAAGATATCTTTGTGTACTTTCTTTGAAACGTCATCATACTTTCCTGTGTTTATTCTTCTATTATCCTTATTTAAATGGAACCAAAGCTGCCATGAACCCAAAATTCCTCAAGGGGTTCATAGCATTCACCGATGATAGAATAAGTGGACTGTATTATTACTTCAATCAATACTGTATTATCATTTCAATTGTAGTTTTATTGTACCCAAGCTATAGTTTCTTTTAAAATATTCAAGAAGACGAAGTAAGTAAACAAACCGTGTACCATATTTGCACATAGAATGAAGTTGAGGATCACTAACCTTTGTCCTGACTTAATTTTTTAATACTTCATAGAGATGAACGTACATGACTAATTGGAAATGCAGATACAGTACAACAGAGCCCTATCATATAAAATGCATCTTGTAGACATACACCCTCTTTGACATTTTTTAAATTTAAGCTCAGTTAAAATTAATCACATTTTCACAAAATAATAGTAATATTGTGGTGATGTCTTTCAGAAGCCTATTCTCCCGATTCTTAGCAAACTGCGAAGCCGTAAGGCTCACCATAACCCTTCGGCGTGGCAGGATGAGGGAGGCAGAAAGGCCAGTACTTCTTTCTCCAGTAACCCGCTCCAGGCACCTCTCTGCTACGGGCCCCCTGTGCCGGGCCAAGGGACACTGCGACGAAGCTTGCCTGGGGCCAGATGCTGGCACCTAGGGGGATCACCGAGACGGGACACGTGAAGGTTAGATGTTGTATTTAAGGCATGGGGATGACAGGGAATCCCACAAACCGGCCCTATCCCTGTTTATACGTAGGGACTGCCTCAGGGATATATATGGAAGCAAGAATCTATTTACCTACTCCTCCCAAAATCAAAGTATTTATGGGGAGTTGCTCTGTCGGTTGTTGTCCAGGCATTATTCCAGGATGAGGAGGAAGACTCTGTCTAAATCTCCTCTTCTTCTGCTGAGAAGAATGATATTTCTAGAAGACAGGAGTTGCAGACCCACCAGGAGGTGGACACTTATATACAGGATTTCTTTAAGCTAGGCTGTTTCATGAGAACAATTTTCTTTAGACAAATGCACCTGAATAGCTCAACCAGGCCACTGACACTGGAATTTATGCAGTTTGGAAGACTGGCTATTGTGAGTTCCACTCAATCTTTATTAAATGTCTCAGAGATATCATAAATCTGGAATACTTTCCACACAAGCACTCAGACTTAACGGTTATTATGGTAACTACAAAACTGAATATGGAAAGGAAAAGAGGTTCAAACTCCTGAATATGTTTTGTAACCGTTGAGTTACAGAAAAGCACGCCAGAACTCAACTGTACTTCAGCACACCCAAGTTCATGAAACGCTTCCCACCTTCACTTCAGAATACACTAAATTACAGTTATTTTGTTTATAAACACATTACTTTTTGTTAAAAAATGCAATATATGGTTTCTGCAGCAAAAATTCCTTCTACAGAGTACACTGTGAACCTACATATTTATTTTGCCCAGAATGATTCTGACTCAAAAACAGCACTGTAAAATAGTTCAGTGACTAGTTTCCTGTAATGCTAAGTAGAAGGGTTTTGGTTGGTCATATTTTTTTCCTTTTTTCTTTCTCTATATGTTAGAAGTCTATTGTGGCAAAAGTATTTTGGGTCTTTCACATTAAGTTTGTATTATTGCAAATACTAGTTTTTCTTTTCTGTGTTACTTTTCCCTCTTTTGCATATATTGACACGTGTTTAGGTGAAGAAATTTGATCATAGTAAATGACAGTAGTTTGAGTGTAGACGTTTCCCCATTTAATGCATCTATATTTTCTCCAGTATATAGTTTTGGATTTGTTTTCTCTTTTGCACAACTGTCACTCAGAGTATAACTTCTGGAGTTACATTTTGTATATTTTTTACTTCACTTCCTTCTGAGCCAAGGAAAGGTGGATTTTCCAAAAGTTTAGCGCTTTCATTGCAAAACTGTTCTTTTCTATCATGTGGACCTGGACTTTTGAATAGATGTTTCTTCTGGTGCATTCCCAGAGCAGCTGCCGTCTTGCAAATTTTGGGGCACTGAAAGCAAGCGTATCCTTTTCCATTATGCTCACGTACATGTCTTTGCTCGTGGTTCCTTTTGGTAGAAAGATACAAGAAGCTCTGAAAGCAGAACTGACAGTGGTAGCGTTTTTCTCCAGTATGAATTCTTTCATGTATTTTGAGTGTTTCATTTAAAGTGAACGCCTTATTACAGTATTGGCAGACAAATTCTTTGACACCCAGGTGAATACGTTCGTGTTTCTGTAGATTTCCAGGAACTGAGAAACTTTTACCACAGGTTTTGCAAGTGTAGGGCTTTTCCCCAGTGTGACACCTCATATGCATTTTTAAAGTGGATGGACTTTGAAATTGTTTTTGGCATAAGTCACAAATGTAAGGCTTTGAAGTAGCTACATGCCAGTGTACGTGTTCTTGAATTTCTGCAGTAGAAGATTGATCTCTTTCACAGAGCTCACAATGAAGATTAGGCATTTCTGCGTTCTCTTCTTGACTGATCGCCTTTTCCTCAGGAGCATTCCTGAGTGCATACTCTCGACTGCATGTGTTGTGGCTTTCCATAATGGTGTTCTTGCTTCCGTGCTTTTTCCTCCATTTGGTCTTTTTCATTTTTCTTAGCTGTTTGGATTTCTTTTTTGGTTTGTAATTGTAATAGGGTCTCCAGGGTTTATCACTGGAGTCCTGGTCACTTACGTCATCACACATTTCCGTCAGCTCCAGGCATTCTGAGCTGTAGAGCCTCGTCGGGCTTCTTTCTTTTATCTCCATTTCTGATTCCTCAATTAGATTGTCCTGTTTGGACTCGTGTTTCGATTTTCGGCCCCTTTTACAAAACAGCTTAGATCCCAATATATGTCTTTTTACAATAGCCTCATTACCAATTTTTACTGTTATCTGACAAAGAGGCGCAACATTGCTGTCAGTAGATGTTCCAGGTAAGGCAGGCTTTGCAATGTACGTTTCAGTTTTACTCGATTCTTGGACAGTATTTGTTGTTTTGCTAGATGAACCTCCAGATCCTGCGACGTGCTGCGTATCCTCAGTTGCTTCTGCTCTGTTGTACAGCAGTGTTTTCTTTTTCTCCTTAATAGTTTTTGATTTTGTAATGCACTTCCCATAATTATCTGACCCATATTTGCTATCATCAGTTACAGGCTGACTAGGTAGATTATTTGAAGATTCTGTCTTACTGTTTTCTACAGAAGTGACTGTTTTACTGTGCATTATTACTGATGAAACTCTGCTACTGTGCATTATAACAGAGGGTGCAGAACTGCTGTAACTGATGACGGAGGTTGAATTTTCATTCACATTAGTTAAAGACACAACTGAGGAATCGCACTCCTGAGAACCAGAGTCACTTGCAGCAGTGGAAACTCTTTTTTCGGCTGTGAAAAAGTCCCTTTGCAGGTCAGAATTTAAGATACCTACTCCCCAAGAGGAAGATTTCTGAGTATTTGTGGAAGATGCTGTATCATTGCATGAAGAGGCATCTAAGGCCAGAGTTCTGTTGTTTGCTATTATATTACTTTGGAAATTCAGTGGTGGTAGCTCAGAGCTAAGAGAACTCGGAATGAAACAGTTGGTAGAAGCAGTTTCATTAACCTGGCTACTTGTTTGAACATTTTCATATGAAGAATTTCCGTAGGACTTATAAGGTAGTCGCCTGCATTTCATAGGTAAAAGTCGATAAAGTTTGTATGGGTACATACTTGGTTTTAAGCCTCCGTTGGCTGTCTTTTTATTTACTGAGAGACGATGGTCAATTGCGTGGAAAGACTTCTGATGATTTTTTAGTATATAGTAAGTCATAAAAGTCTCCAGACAGAAAATGCACTGATACCGTCTTTCTCCAGTGTGCCAGATCTCATGTCTGGTGCGATACTCAGCTAATGCGAATACCTTATTGCAGTAGTGACAAGGGTATGTTCTCCTCCATGAATGCACGTTTGCATGTCTTCGAAGGCTAGACAATGTTACATAACTACGCTTGCAAACGATGCACGTATACAGTATCTGCCCATCAACGACTTTAACCAAATGATCTGTTTCTGGTAAAGTGCAGTTTGCATTAGAAAAATCGGTGATGCTGTTTTCAGACAATAGAGGCTCTGCATTTGCATATGAACTTCCATTCCTTCCGTCCGTAGCAGTATAGTTATCTGCAAAATTTTGTTCGTTTCCATTGTGAACCGGTAAGCTACTCGATCTCATGCAGACTTGTTCATGACTTTCCAGTATATTTAGATTTGCAAACTGTTTGCTGCAGTATTTGCATATGAAAGTTTCCTGATGCTCTGAATGGAGCTGAAGATGAGTACTGAGTAACGCCCTGTCATTGAATGATTTTGCACAACAGTTACAGTTGTAAACAGGTGGAACAACAGTCGCCACGGATCCAGAGACATTCGCAGAATTGTTTTCCTCTTCTCTGGATAAACGGAAATCTCCTGCTTTATTTTGAGGTTTTGGAAAGGAAATAATTGTCTGATCAGTAACTGCTTCATGCTGGGCTTCTGTAGTGGTTACTGTAGAGGCCGGTACTTTTGCTAAAGCCACACCAGTACCCTGGGGCTTAAAGGCTGCTTTAGGAGCATTACATGCTTGTTTTCCCGGCTGAATGAGTGGTGTGGCTTGGAGATTTTCATAGTGGTCTTCACCCATCTTGTATGAAGGGCTGCTGTCCTGTTCAGGAAAAGGTGTTCCTTGAAAAGTATCCCCCCCAGAAGAAACTGCATAGGAATGTTCGGCCAGTGTACTGGCTGGCTCAGCATCTTTGCAGACATCGCTTCTGTCGAGGCTGATGGGTGCTTGTATTGTCTCAGATACCTTTTTAAAGCTTGCCCTCAAATCAAGTGGAGAAAACAAAGTGTTCTCAGTTTCAAAAATTGAGAATGCGTTTGTAATTCGTGGTCCATTTGTCACAGCGGAGTCTTCATGTCTCTTTTCATGTTTTTCCTCTTTGACAGCCCCTTTTTCATTAATACAGTATGCATAGGGGCAAGGGGAACTTGAAAAATTAACATCTGTAAGATCTTCTAGAAATGATATTCCCAGTTTTTTCCCTGCAGCTGCAAGGTCCGTTACAGTTTCTTGCCTCTTAACAACTACTGTGGAACTGTAGATGTAATTCAGTATTTCTGTAAACACTTCAGCTTTGAGATCATCTAACTCCAGTACGTGACCTGAAATACAGATAGTACGACTCCAAAAAATGTTTTTAAAGTAAAGGCTTGAAGCTGCCAGCACATTACTATGGGCTTTAAATTTGGTATCTTCCACAATTATGGTGACATCACATAAAATACCCCGAATGCGCTGTTCATTTAAAATAGAAAGTACAGTGTCACTGTGGAAATCGTCCTTGAGATCCTTTGAATGGGACATGACTGTCATCTACAAGGAAAAAAAAAAAGAATGTAAATATATTTAGAAGGCATTTTTCATTCATTTCAGTTACAGATCAAGTTTATAGTTCTATATTTTATATATTTTTTAAATTATTAACTTTTAAGATTTAAGAATAAATAAAATTTTCTTATAGCATTGCAGGTTGAAGTCATCTTAGGTTCACTTGTGCCAACAATACTGAAGGTAATCCATGTACAGAGCAAGGATGCAGGAACACCAGTAGCTCCTCAGCAGGAGGCAGAGGATCTTCTCTGTCCCCGAGGAGGTCTGTCACCCACCCCATGCCTTTCGTTGGGGACGGCAGCCGCCAGCTTTCTGTTGTGCCAGCGGGTGCATCTGCTCAGGTTCACACTGAAGGACTCACTGAACCCTTGAGGTAATTCCCCCAGCATGGGGCTGAGGTATTTGGAAGACGTTATAAGGAAGGCTGAATTGCCGTGGTTCTGTGGATACTGAGGACTTCGTTTTCTGAGGCTGTTTGTCAGACGATGGCTTTACAACGCAACTGCATTTGATCCCCTCATTAAGCTGATATTTAAAACAGGGACCAGAGATCCCATGCAATGAAGTTGCAGTTACAGGACAAGGCTTTATAAACAAATGAATGCACAAGCAACACAATTTTCTAAACAATAGCTGAGTACGTATAACGCTATTTAAAAAATAATATTCTGTTTACGTAAATAGTGATTAAATTTTATTAGTTTACACTTACTTTAAAATGACTGAAAATTTGTAATTAACTGAATTTATAAATTCAGTGAGTAAAGCAAGTAGAGAGTAATAGAACGTTTTTTCTTCAGTTATAGTTTAGATTTATAGTGTTCACACCTTATAATTTGATAGTGTGTTCTTAACTTCTACCAAGTAATAAGATTTAATTGCAATAGTAAATACCGTTAAATAACTGCCAATTTAGAATAATGAGGTTTAATGCTGACAAAAAATGTTTAGATTAGCCAGGCTGTTACTGTATGAATATACTGCTTTATTTAATTGAGAGGAAAGATGCAAAATATGAATGAAAAATAAGACTGAAAAAATAGATTAATTTGACAGTATGTATCTGGAGAAAATCTCTGACTTAACCAGATGATTTTTTGTTTTGTTCTGTTCAAGTTCAGATCTGTACCATATAATGACGTTTGTTCCTTTTTTTCTATCTTTGAGTAGCGTTTTCAACTACTACTGCCCATTTCTGACTTCAAGTCATGAAGAAATAGTTGTCCTACTGGCACTGACCAATCACTAAGACAGACCCTTTTCTTTCAACTTGTAGAATCACCTTAATGCACCTTAAAGAAAATGACCAACTACAGGTATTTTGGAAGGTAGGTTAAAATAGTACCACACTGTAGTGCTCCAATAAGTTAGGAATACCTTCTAAACATTCCATCTACTGCTCCAAACTTAAATGTTAAGCTTGAAAACTTTTATGATGAACCTTACCCTTAAATATTTACATTAAAAATGCCAATATATTTATTAAGATGGGTTTGATCCAAATGGTGAAATAAAGGTCTGACCCACATTCACTAAACAAACAGCAATGGCCATTTAGAACACATTGGCTCTCTCACCCAAGCTATTCGGAAGTAATCCTTTCTTGAAAATAGGGTCTTTATCACAAAGTAAGTAATATGGGACGTACACCCTTGCTCTAGCTAATCTAGTTACACTTCGGACACTTTATCACAAATCCACCAACTACTTCACTGCAAATGAAATTACACAAAAAACAATGACAACCTTACTGTGAAGACAAACACAATGAAAAAGATCATAATTCGGTACATTATGGTGAAGCTTGGAAGTAAAATTTGTACCTTGCAGCATGGCCACTGTTTCTACCAGGAAGGTATTGTCTATGCAAATGGCCAAAATTTCTAATACAGTTTAATGGCTGAGAATTTTCAATGCACAGAATTCAGAAAAATCAAAATCGTGATTCACAAAAAATACCTCTGATGCTTATATATGCCATGGATATCAAGACATGAATTCATCAGTATAACTGTGATAGAAATGTAGACGTATATTATTTTGATTATCCGGTCACTCACAGCAGTTGTAAATCTAGATGCATTGTTTTGTGCCTTTAAGTCTTAAAATCATAGTTTATCATGTGTTTATTACACTTATTTGACTTAAAATAAGAGATACTTATTCATTTGGAACGACAACCTGAAATTCACAGTAATTAGGTATGGTTACCTGCTTTGGTTCGGTATCTGAAAACCCTACATAATTGTAGATAGTTACTAGCATATCGAGTCTTCTACAGAAAGAATACTGACAAGAACACTTTTCTTCAAGCAAGCAGTCGCTATCCCATAATTGATTCTTTTTTCTCATTGTCAATGCCTGAGATTACATCTGACTTGCTCATGTGATGTGGTATCACAAACCAACTGTCAGACATCAAAAACATTTCACAACAGGAGCTATTGATAGAGTTATTTCCAGAGTATAGGAAATAAATGATGTCAACTCTACCTCCCAGTGAACTCCCCCATAGGAACTTGCCTGTGCTTTTTTCTGTTTCTTTATTGGAGACGGCTGGTTTTAGTTCAAAGACACATCATCTGACATGCCGTTTGCTAAATACATCAGACTGCTGCTTCTATACTAAGAGGCATTTATGAGCAAGGCCTGCAAACCCAAGTGTTCTTAGTAGAAGTCTTATTATTCAACTAGTTATTTCAAAATTTATCCTCCTAAGGAGAACAGTGCATATTTTCAGTTTCTACGTGCATGTACATAGATTGCCAGTTTTTGTAGTCCCGGATATTTTGGTACGCTCAGTAAAACACCAAACTAGATTCCTTGTGTAAAGATAGTAGAAACTATCATTTGCTATTTGGACATTGAATTTTTTTTGCTGTGTGCTAAACCATCTGCTATGTATCTCATTGGAAAGTTATACAGAAGAATTCCAGAGCAAACTGATTTTCAGAGCCAACACTTTTTGCTTCTCCGTCTCAACCTATGCATTCCCCAAATAGTCCATTTATTCATGTGTGTAATGATTCTCTATTGCCTTTTATTTTACCTGTCTTGCTTCTTGCATTTGTGAAAAATGTGTCTGAAGTGCTATAAAATCAGAATGTTCTACCTGGCACACACATAAATGGAATATTTTAGGAATATTTTACATTCCGTTTGCAGTTCATACTGCAAAAGGAAAACCTGCTCCTCAGTTTCCAAGGGTGCTCTAAGATACACAGAGACCAAGATGCACAGAGATCAAACTTTTCAGATGTATTATTATTATTAAATATTTTTGATTAAAACGTTGGAAAGTCCACTTGGAATGTTACTATTCTTCTGTATGATTTTTATTACAGAATTATGGAAGAAATTCTAGTATTATTTATAAATGTTGCCCAAAACATATGTAAATACCATTTGACCTATTAAAGGTCAACAAAACTCTTTGGCCTACTAAGCCATCCTTTTTTGACACAAATACGTGTGTTATTTTGATACTTTTTACTCTCAATCCAGACATAAATAATTTCTTAGCAATCTGAACATTACCTTTGTAGTACAACTTAATAGTCTTTGGTGCACCTATAGATAACTTTAGCTTCTGAACAGCAGAATTTTTGATTGGGAGTTACCTTACTATTTGCAGATTTTCTGCGAAAACAGTAACAGACTTGACCTGTCATTAAAAGTTGTTGAATCGCTTTGAGAAATAAGATGTAAATATTCATCTGAAACTTAAGTGTAATGGTCAGTAGGTAGATTAAACTATAACGTTACCTTTTCTAACATCAACAGAGTACCACTGCAGGACAATAGTCATAAGTGAAAATAAGTAATATTAAAAGTTAATGGAAAGATCAGAGATTGATGCATCCAAACACAAATTTGTCTACTTATGCCTCACAGATGACACTTCTAATTATAAATATTAGAGCAGCCAGCTCTACATGGACACTGCAGAGGGAAGAAGCTACTGTTAATTTTTATATTAATATTACTCTGAAGTAAACAAAGAGATCACAAGAAGTTTTACTGGCCGATGAATACCAAATATAACAAATACAAAATTTTTTACTACCAAAGAAGAACTGTTGCCATCTAGGAATAGTGTTTTTAACTTTTGCTAAACTTTTGAAATCCACTGCCAGGCAAGTGTACCCCATCACATATGAGAAGAGATTATTTTATTCCACTTCAGTTGCCTAATTTGAAAGACAAGCTAGTGGCATCAACAAAAAAACCATTAGGGCCAGTAGCTAGTACCCAGACAAAATAAAAAAAACAGGAAGATACTTGGTAAGCTGTAATTAACAGTTCTCTCTCCATTTTCTTATTCCATGCATTTCTACTGGGATTTTAAACATGACGCTATGGAAACAGGTTCACATAATTGTCTTATGTTCAGTTTCATTCCACTCTATTAACATACTTTGAAGGCTACCTCTGTTTTGTTTCTGGCCTGTTTCCCCAGCTAAGAGGGAACATTCATCCATATCTAACTCTCCTAAAGGGCACTGTTTTGTTCTAGAGCAGAAATGGGGCTAGGCATCACGAACAAACAAAGCAAAACGCAAACAAAAACAAGCACACCCCCCCACATCCCTTTGCCCACCTGTCCAACCATCACTTCTATGATGGTAGCTCAGTTTTTTAATGCAGTCACTGCACCAGCCCCACCTGGGCAGCATGGCTACGCAGGGCTGCCTCCACCAGGGTCCCTTCAGCCTCCTTACCACCTCAGGCACGCAGAGAAGTTTTAATGACGTCTAATTATGTTTAACAGCTTGCAGTGGCGTGTAGCTTAGTGCTCCAGTCTACGTAGCTACACATTATTTCTACAAGTACATTTGTATTTTTTCTCTTTCACACTCTTGCTGCTTGCATCCTTCCCTATTAATATACTTAAGTTTTCTATTTGTTACAGCCTCATAAGCATTGTAGACTTTAAAGCTTTTTTTTTTCCCAGCCTCGCACTGTTTCCTGTAACTTTTAATTCAGACAGCTGGGGGGGGGGAGGAATTTAGTGTAAGAATATTATGTCAGTATTAGCACATCTCCGAAGCCACCAGATGAGCCGTTCTTTCGGAGCTGTAATTCTTTCCTGTTATCCTAACTCCTTCTCTCACTTCCTACTTTACGCCTTCTATGATGGTTTCTCATCACGTGGAAAACAGCCTTGAAAACCTGATCAGTGCTCAGAGCAGGCTCACCCTTTTTATTAAGCGATGTGTCTCACTTCGAAAGCCAAAGCGAGCCCCGTCT